ACTATGTAGCTTTTTTGTGTTCTTGTTTACACTCTTTTGTTACAGTATATACTGTAAGTGGTGCTGTGGGCCACTTCCTCTCTGCTGCCGGGTAAAGATGAAGCTGGTCTTAGCACATCCCCACCATTAAGGAGAGGGCTTGTATTTTTATCAATTATTACAAGGCTTCCTTGATATGCCAAGTTGGAGACTGTGCTTTCATCTACCCACCTCTCCCAATCAGAGTAAGCCCTGTATTCACTGATGCAGCAAGACCAACATGATCTATACTTACAGCAGAAAGGAAATGTTTCATACTGCTTAGAACAATTCCCTGTACGTCTCTTTCTGGGACCAGTTCCTTTTACCTTGTCAAGGCAGAGATGTTGAATTCCTATCGCCTGACACCCAGGACATGTAGATCTGGGTGCCGGGAAGGTAGTTTTTTTTTTTTTTACCTGCAGACGTGCTGAGGGCAAGCAGCAGGGCTCACCTGTCAGGTGGAAGCATTCGGGCAGCAGCGCTGCCGGCCGAATGCTTCCACACAGTGCCAGCCTCTCTGCCACCTTGTGTGAAGCTCCCCCCCGCCCACTGTCTCCTGGGCTCCGCTTTCCCATCTGCGGGCCAGGCTCACTGCTGGTGGTTATAGGGGAGTCCTTTCTTGTCCTGACCCAGAAGGGACGCTATGATGTCACTTCCAGGTCCCCGTTGAGAGATTCCCGGCAATTGAGGCCGGAAAAGAATTTATTGCAGTGCGATGTGCACTGCATTACATTCAGGGAAGCAGAGGAGAGACATCCAGGGTCTTTTAGACCTTGGATGGCTCAATAAAGAGAACCTGTCACCAAAAAAATCATCACATAGGGGACATTGTACCCTATGTGATGGAAAAAAAAAAGTTTTTTTTCCCTTAAAATTGTAAAAAATGAAAAGTTACACCCAAGCACATAACATCCCCCCATCAAAAAAACTGAGGCTCCCCCCCCCCCACATATACGCACGTACAAATATAAAAGCACACGCTGGAGTGCCTATGCATGAAAACGTTGTTGATTGCGATACACATGTTACATATCGCCGCGCACGCCAGAATGAGAGCAAGAATTCTAGCACCAGACCTCCTCCGTAACGTTAAACTGATGGCCTAGAAGAGGCTTTAACTGTATCACCTATAGAAAATATAGGGTACTGAAGTTCATTGCCATTTCATGAGTGCACGCAAATTTAAGGTTTGACAAGTTGGATATCTATTTACTCGCTGCAACCTCATCTTTTGTATTTTACCAAAAAATAGGGTAATGCATTGCTTTTTTCTGTGCTATAAAATTAACTTGTATTTTTTACTGAAATTTTGCGGAAATATCATGCGACATACTAAATTGGAACTACCACTATTTTATTCTCTAGGGTCTCTGATTTAAGAAAATATATAATGGTTGGGGGTTTTGTGTAATCTTCAGGCCTAAAATAATTGTTTTAATTGTGTGCAAAAAACGCAAAAATGGCAATGGCAGTGAAAGGGACAAAGGATAAGGCCGATACTCCCCTTTCCTGACAAGCACCCAATCAGTGCTCATTATACTGCATGGTGTCTCTCTGCTCCCTGCTAGTCCTAGAGTGCGGTGATGGAGACAGGCAGGGAGGGGAGGAGGAAATAAACAGCGAAATGTTAAAAATATAACACGTTTAAGTCACCATAAAACCCCTTTTGTTTTTAAAACATTCCTAATATCACTTTCAATTTAAATACAGTTTTGGTTAAAAACATTTTTTTTTTTATCTGGACAAGTAGATTGTCATGAGAGACAAGTAGATTGGGACACCAATTTAGTCCTTGGACAAGTAGTTTTTGCAAAAATTTCCACACCCCTGCATGGGCTTTGGCCTAAGGCAAAAAAAAAAAAAAAAAAAAACCACTAAAGAAGACCACACCAAGGTTCCCAAGCGTATATAGACAGGCCTTGAACAAGGAAAGTGCAATAAGCAAAACAAAGTCAGCTAGACAGCAGGCTCTATGCCTCACACAGCCTTCAGCTCCTTCACATCCTACACTCAACCATCAAAGAAGACTAACAGGAAATGCAACATTCATACCCCTCCCTTTTCTTTTTCTGTGGACTGCAACACACACACACACACACACACACACACACACACACACACACACACACACACACACACACACACACACACACACACACACACACACACACACACACACACAACACACACACACACACCACACACACACACACACACACACACACACACTCCTTACAGCTATGCGGCCACTGAAAAAAGAAATAAAAACACAAGGCCACCAAATATTCAGGTGCAGTCCCACTAAAGGGAGGCGAGTACCATCCAGTCATATGGCCTTCAGCCAGTCCTCCCCCCTGTCTGTAAGAGGCGAGCAATAGGGGCAGACGCAGGCAGAAGATTCCCCAACACTGACAATGAAGGGGTAAAAATATTAAAGAGAGGGGTAGAAGAATCCAGATCACACACAAGCGTTAGAGACTTCACATCCAGGTACCATGTGATGCACAACCTCCAGATGAAGGAAACATAAAAAATAAGGACAGCAGAGGGACTGCCTTTTAACCTTTGACCTACAGATGTAGCTTCTGTCCTGGCAGGAGAAGCCTCTGTCTCTCAAATACTGTCCTGGAAGACTACGGGAAAATAAGATGGGGAGATTTAATGATCTAGAACAGCCTTTCTCAACCTTTTGAACAAAGAGGAACCCTTGAAATAACTTTCTGATCTCAGGGACCCCAGTTAAAAATGATTATATCTATGTAAGGGTGTGGGGCATGGATAAATACTGATGTGCAATGTTAAACTGTAATATGCCTGCAATATGCTCTTTGGTCAGTAGATGGCAGTAAAGTACAAGAATCGATTTTGCATTGAAGTTTACTAAGACAAAACAAATGCTTATTTACCTTATAAAGTTTAATTAATGCTAATTTAGGGGCTGAGTAGGACCCTCAGAAGGGTCATAGTGAACTATAAATGCAGGTTTGAGGCTGCAATTAGGAAATTACTTACTGCATAACAAACTCTCTGGGAAGGGGAGGAGTTCCGGTGCAGAGCAGGAAGGGACAGGGAGTCTGTGTCTGGCTGGTGTATGCTGAGGATGTCTGGAAAATCTGTGTGGAGCATGGAAGAGGATTTACGTCTCACAGTGGAGTCTGGCGACGGCACCTAGGGAGGATTCACCGTGACGAGACTGGGAAACAAGTGACTGTATGGTCTGGTTCTGGAGTGGACCAGTGGATCAGGAAAAAGCACCAAGAGCCTGCCAAGGAACTGTAAGTGCGACTTTGCCGCAGCACATCGCACCACACGTGTTCAGTGACCTTTTGGATATACCAGAAAGTTACAAGAGACATACTCCACTTTCCTTTGGATTACAAATAGTATTGCACAATACTTATGGGGCACCCCGACGTTATATCTTGCTCAGGAACATTCAGGCGCAGCCAGGCTGCTTTCTGGACATTGGGGAAAAGTCTGCAAGTACGGGGTTAGTGTTAGACAATATTATTCTTACTGTATGGTTATGCGCTGTTATCATTCTGTTTATGTATGCTCAACTACTTGTTCACTATAACTGTTCAGTAAATGTAATTGTTGTAAAGGAACCGCTGTCTGTGTCTGTGTGGCATCATGTACCCTCTGAATCTGTGGGCCCAGCCCTCGGTATTCCTTCATCTACAACCCATGATACATTAGTGTGATGGTCAGTGGGAAGAATGCTCCTTACACTTGTGCTCATTGGAAATAATTATCCCCTTACAGATAGCTAAAAAGATCAATGGTGTCAGTAATAACTTATCTGAGAAGCAGAAATTGTTCATTGCTCAAGGAACCCCAGGAAACCTCTGGAGGAACCCTAGTTGCGAAACCCTGATCTAGAATGTACACTTACCATCAGGTGCACTGCATGTGAAGTCAATTATATTCACGACTATATCATCTTCAAATGCATGATCATACTGTGAATAGAGAATTATTATTTGTAACACAGGATTTATATAGCACCAACAGTTTGCACAATGCTTTACAGAATAAAAGGGAGACAGCAGTTCGTTACAGTACAATACAAGGCAGGAGGGCCCTGCTCATGAGAGCTTACAATCTGAAAAGGGAGAGGCAAGTGATACAAAAGTTAATGAACCGTGAGGGGATGAGTTGAATGAGAAAGTAAAATGTTAACTAAAGGAAAGTCAGAAAGATTTGTAACACTATATTGTGATATAGTCTTGCAAAAGTATATGAAACCAGTAAATTGTTTTATTGGCACATCACAAACAAAATGATGTAGATGATCATTATAGTGTATTTTATTTAACCAACATGTATTTTGGAATATTAGTTAGTACTACAGTACACTTGCATACAAAGTAAACGACAATGAAGCATAAAAACAGGACAGGGGTGGATGCCACCGTGTTCTCTGTTAAAGTTACAGACTACAAAAAAAAATAAAGTGGTATAATCTCCCTGTCCCAAGCCTACTGCCCGGAGAGTGAAAGAGCAGAAGACAACCGATGAGGGAATCTCTGCTCACTCTTCTCTCTTACTTACTATCTTCATGTTCCTTGTGTACACATTTGCATACAGTATACACCTGATTGAATTCCTGATCTGCCCATCTCTCTTCCAGTGTGAAAGCTGCTGTACTGGTTATTTTAAGAAGCTGATATTAAAAGTAGTACTCAAAATAAAACGGAGAGGCAGGGTTTTTATGATAGAAGAGACCCTGATGGTCTCTTTTGTCATAAATACTTCCCCCTACCTGTCAGTGGTAATGTACACTGTGCCACGGATGCACAGCTCATTTTCGGCACCTGCTCTGTGATTAAGTGACCCCTGTGCGCATGCTCCTAACTTCAGCCTGTTCAGTTAAGCTTTGACCAAAAAAAAAAAAAAAAAAAAAAACTGGAAGCTGATTGGTTTCTATGCAGAGCTGCACCAGATTTTGCCCTCTCCAATTTTAGTAAATCAATCCCACTATGTCTTTAACCACCTCCCGCCCGCCATATAGTCCAATGACGGGCGCAAGGTGGTTCTCTCGTTCTGAGAGGACGTCATATGACGTCCTCCCATTCTCACCCTCGGACACAGCGGATCACCGATCATGGAAAGAGCCGAAGATGTCGGCTCGGTCATGTGATCAGCTGTGTCCAATCACAGCTGATCACATGCAAACATGGAAATGCCGGTTATCGGCATTTCTCTCCTCTCGAGCTGTCACGCTGACAGCTCGAGAGGAGAGGAGAGCCAGTAATCAGCTTTCCGCGGAGGGGACATGTACACTGATCATCAGGGCACTGATGATCAGTTTGCCCTGATGATCAGTGTAGCCCCAGCAGTGCCACCTGTCAAGGTCCATCAGTGCCAGCTGTCAGTGCCACGTGCCAGTGCCTATCAGTGCCACATCAATGCCACATATCAGTGCATACCAGTGCACATCAATGCCACATATCAGTGCCCATCTGAGCTGCCTTTCAGTGTCATCCATCAGTGCCATCAGTGCCACCTATCAATGCCAATCAGTGTCACCTATCAGTGCTGCCTATCAGTGTGCATCAGTGCCGCCTAACAGTGCCAGTCAGTGCCGCCTAATAGTGCCATATATCAGTGCTGCCTTTCAGTGCCCATCAGTGCTGCCTTTCAGTGCCCATCAGTGATGCCTGTCAATGCCCATCAGTGCCACCATACCAGTGCCACCTATCAGTGCTCATCACTGCAGCCTCATTAGCACACATCAGTGAAAGAGAAAAATCACTTATTTACAAAATTGAATAACAAAAACTAAGAAAAAAACGTTTTTTTTCCCCCCCAAATTTTTTTGTGTTTTTTGGTTTAAGAAAAAATAAAAAACCCTGAGGTGATTAAATACCACCAAAAGAAAGCTCTGTCACAAAAAAATGATAAAAATGTCATATGGGTACAGTGTTGCATGACTGCGCAATTGTCATTCAAAGTGCGACAGCGCTGAAAGCTGGAAATTGGCCTGGACAGGAAGGGGGTATAAGTGCCCTGTATGCTAGTGGTTAATATATGCACAGAGTTCAGATTTATCTTTTTATTTAACTGTTTGCTTAAATCTCAGCTATAACTGCCCCACACTCTTTGTGGATCCACAGAACTACCGTTTGGTCAACCCAGTAAAAAGTTGTTGACTTAGCCGATCAAACTTAAAGTCCAAGTGAGCATTGAAGATTTTCATTTGATCAGTCACATTCAGTTGTTAAGATGGATTTTGCAAATAAAGAAATTTCCTTAAAATTACCCCTGTGCTTTCCTATATAAAACTTTTCACCTCTGCTGACACTGTCATCTGATTCCACACTGTCAAAGTAATAATAAAAAAAAAAAAAAAAAAAAAAAAAAAAATAGTACAGTACCACTGATTATAATTAGATCACATAAACAAAGCCTTAGAATCCTAAAAAATACAAAAAATAACTGAAATTTAAAATAATCTGGTGTGCTATAAAATATATGCAAACATTATAAATCACTGAAAATACATGGATATGTCTTATAATGACTGCAATCTCCAAATGTGATCAGGCTATTGCTCTGGAATATAAGATTGCAAGCAATTATCTGCAAGGTTTATTAAACCTGAAGGAGATTGGAGCCTTCTAAAATCCTTGGGGCTGAACAGAAGAGAGAAGAGAAGAGCGATGAATATTACCACTAGGGGTAGGCTATATGAGGCTTGAGACCTATACGATACATAGGTCCAAAAAGGCGGTGAGAGCATTCCAAAATTATCTGGGATATCATATGTGGCACATCAGTGTGACGTGTTTTGCATCATGAAATATGCACGGATTGCACATATACTATTTATGAACGTTTATTAATTTATGAACTTGATATCACTGATGCACATGGTGGTTTATGAATATATGAATATGATGAGATTGCACAGCCATATTGGGACATATCCAGTTTTGCATATATTTTCCAGCACACAGGATAATTACTCAAATTCTAGTTATTTTTGTTTGTTTTTTTAGGATAATCAGATGTGTTCATGTGATTTAAATATAATCAGTAGCGTGTTGCTTTTGGAAATTATTTTAATGGATTTTGCACATATTTCATTACTGTGATAAATGGCTCCCAGTTTTCCATTTGACATCTGAACATATTTTATTATGCAACATATGCTAACAAAATTAAATATGTGCCTACCTTCTCATAAATTCTTCTCATTTTTTCTTGAAAAGTTTTTTCAATTTGAGCCAGACCTTCTGACAAACCCTTACTTAGTCCTGAATCCATTTTGCAGAAGCCTGAAAATAAAAAACACACAAGTAATTATTTGAAGAGGTTGTAAGGTTAAAAGTTTTTTTGTACTAAAATAAAAAAAGATGTTATACTTATGCTCGGTGCATGAGTATTGCATAGAGTGGCTCTGAAATCTCTTCTGGAGTCCCACGCTGGAGCTCTTGGCTCCTCCTCTTCTCCATGTGCCACCAATGGAAACTGCTTCCTTTGCAGGCACATGCGTGCATGCTCCCAAGCTGGACTGCGTGTGTCCACTGGCTCGGTCCTGCCCCCTGCTCACTGGATTTGACTGACAGCAGCAAGAACCAATGGCTCTCACTCCGCTCTTAACTTCCATACCGGCACTTTTACCCCCTTCCTGCCCAGGCCATTTTTCAGGTTTCAGCGGTCTCACTTTTTGAATGACAATTGCACGGTCATACAACACTGTACCCAAACTAAAATGTTATCATTTTCTTCACACAACTAGAGCTTTCTTTTGGTGGTATTTAATCACCGTCTGGGTTTTTATTTTTTGCTAAATTAACAAAAAAAGACAGAAAATTAAAAAAAAAAAAAAAAAACACGTTTTTCTTTGTTTCTGTTATAAAAGTTTGCAAATAAATAATTGTTCATAAATTTAGGCCGAGATGTATTCTACTACATGTCTTCGGTGAAAATAACCCAAATTAGGATGTATTTTGTAGTTTGTAGGAAAGTTATAGAGTTCACAAACTATGGTATAGATCTGAATATCGATCAATCCTGAAGTACTGACAGCCAATCTAATTTCTTGAGGTCCAAGAATGTCAGAACAGTACAGATATCCCCCAAATGACCCTTTGCAAAGTAGACAGTCCGACGTATTTCATAAGAGGCATGGCGAGTTTTTTTAATTGTTTTTTGTCATAATTTTTCGGAAAAAGAAAAAATTATTTTCACAATTTTTTTTTTACATACTGTCACCAGTGCAGTACAGCGTCATCATATAACTGGCATGACGGTGATCAGGGACACTGACTGGTGACAGTATGAAAAAAAAAAAATATATATTTTGTTTTTCTTTTTTTTATTATTTTTAATTTATTAAATTTTTCCTTTTTTTGAAGATTTGTTTTTCATATTTCACTATGTCCAAAGTAGTACAATGTTACCATAGGTACATTGTACTACTTTGGGGAAGGGATTAGTATTTTTTTTTTTTTTTTTTTTTACACAATTTGCTTATAGCAAAGAATTACTTTGCTATAAGCAAACATTTACCTGAATGACATCGATTCATTCAGGGTTTTTTTTTTGTGCTTAGCTGTGATTTGGCCACAGCTAATCACATGACGTGCTTGTGATCGCTGTGACCATTCACAGCTAGACACTAGTATACAATGGATGGCATGAATGAAGCCATCCATTGTATACAACTGTCATGTGACCTGCTGTGATTGGTCACAGCAGGTCACATGGTACCTGCAACGGGGGCCAGTACTCAGATCTGTCATCGGCCATTGTCCGAGGTACACGGCCGGTGACAGATCGCGCCGCTGCGCGGCTTTGCAAGCGTGAAAACTGCGCATGCCCGGGAGGACGCCATGTGGTGTCCACCCCGGAAATCTACAGCATTTTGCCGGCCGCCAAATGGCTATTGGTTAAAGAATATGTAAACCCAACATTTCATATTTCTGATATGTGCCTGCTGTACTGCCTAAGACTAGATTTTTACTAACCCGTCCAAAACCCAGCACACCAGCTTGTTAAAAACGCTCAGGCTGAGTCTGTGCATATGCATATGCTCTGCTCTCTCATTCCTTTGGAGTGTGAATCCTGGAGTGCAAGTTTGTACTTCAGATCTCTCCATAAAGATGAAGATTTACCTGATTTTGGAAAGTTTTCTTCTATTCTTTTTTTTGGAAGGAAGTTAGGGGAAATGGGACAAAAGAAAGAAAAATCAAATCAAAAAAAAAAAAAAAAAAAAAAAACACTGATGGGGCTTAGATCATTATATATATAAAAAAATAAATGTGACGATTGTGAGCTATAGAGGCATGGACGCTGTACATGACAAGCCATCTTGTTAGGTCTCAGCCATTTTGTCTCTCCTGTTCTCCCTCCTCCCTTTTGAATGGAATGTGAGTCTGTAAGTGAACTGGGGGGGGGGGGGGGGGGGGGGGTCAAAAAGTGCATATCATAGATATGGACAGCTGGATGAGCTCCATGGCTGTAAACCACTAATTAGTCTGGTTCCAGAAGGTCTGCTTGAAAACCACTTTCCTCTGCCCGGTCGTAAAACAATAACTCAGTCAGTCATGACCTGTTGGGCCATTAAGGGCTAAAGCATGCCATAAAACGTACATTCCACGAGTCATTTTTCATACAAATTCATAAACTTCAGCAGGAACTGGGCACATTAATATGAAGTATATATTCGGATAGGTCATTTTAATGAGTGTCACATGACACCTTACATCCCTATGTAGCACCTACAAGAGGGTAGAAAGCAATTTATTTTATCCGGAGTGGCAGGATATGCTAAAGTTTGGTATCTGTGTGTTTGGAATATGATTCTAAATATTAATCTGCCAGTTGCTAGGATGCTACCTGCACCTATTGAAGGTTATTGACCTTAGTATCAACTTGGAAGGGATTTGGTCATAACTTTGGTTACCGCCTAAACACCCATCCCCAAAAGGGACGATTGGTCATTTATTCTCAGGAGACACCCCTTTGAGATAATAGAAAAAGGACTGACAGCCTGGAGAAAATAAATCTCTCCTTTTAACATCGATCAGGAACCATCTTGAGAGCAAAGGCAACCTTTTGTTCGGACACTTGGACTCTGCTTTGTGATGGCTATTTTGAGCCTATACATTTTTCACCTTCTTGGGCCTATAATAATATTCACCTTCATGAAGGTTATTGTGAACTTTTGAAACTGTGGGGGGGATGACACTTCAAAAGAC